AATGGTATTAAATACATGTAAAGCGCTTGTGATGGTGCCGAGCACATGGTGAGGGTCTGAGGGCCTTTGTGTTGTCATGGCTTCTATGTCTGACCTAGTCAGCTCTCAGCACACTGTAAGCAGAAATCGAGTATAAGAATCACAGGCATTGAAACCTGTATAGTGCTTAGCACAAGAAAGACCTGGCACATGGTAAATGTTCCATCAATGTAGTTATTATTATTAGGATCTGAGAAGGCTCTTGTGCCCTGCAAGGAATGTCCCAGGGGCAGGCTTCAGACAGAGGTGTCCTCAGGGGCTGTCCGTTCCCTTTGTCTGCACCAGGAGTCCCCGAGAGGGAGCCTTACTGTTTACCAGGGCTGACATCTCAGCACCCGCCCTTAGTTCCTCGACTCTGAGAAAGAGTAAAGAGCCCTGAACCCTGGGTGGCCCCACCCTAAGAAAACTCACACCGAAAAATCCAAAAATTAAGGGGAAGAGGAAGAAGAAGGAGGAGGAGGAGGAGGAGGAGGAGAGGAGAGAAAGAAGAAATATATTTATAGTGTGTGCAACAGAAGCTGTACCAGAAGGTGCTATTGTTTTATGTATCAATCAACCAATCAATCCACCATTCACTTTGGTTTCATGGGTCACTAACCATGATTCGCCTGGCCCCATTAAAACAAAATCCATTCCACTTAAAAGAATGAAGAAGAATGATAAAGTGAGAACACAGGCCTCTGGAAAGCCCGAAGAGTGGGCGGACCTAGGACGGACCATCAATGGCTCTTGGACAGCACAAGAGAACCTGGCAGATGTAAACCTCCTGATAGAGGAACACAGACGCACGTGTAAATGTTGGCCAAAAACCAAACAAACAAAACTCAAACCCCCAAACCTTTGTAGAGACTATCAAGAATAAAGGCCTGGGCTTGGTGGTGTATACACCTGTGATCCCAGTGACTCAGGAGGCTAGGGCAGGAGGATTGCAAGCTTGAGACCAACTTTGGCAACTTAGTGAGGCCCTGAGGACTTAGTGAGACCCTGTTTCAAAGCAAAACATTAAAAAAAAGGGCTTGGGGATTGGCTAAGTGGTTAAGTGACCCTGGGCTCAATCCCCAGCACAACCAAATAAAAAGACGAGACCTAAAGAATCATTGATCAACTGTAATGTGTGGCCTTATCTGGATTCTGGATGAAACAAAATGGAAAAAAAAAACGGATTTATATTTCTGAGATGATTAGAAATTTGTTGTTATTAAGGAATCATTGGATGGTTTAGTGGTAAAGCTAAAAAAAAAAGGAGTTCTTTTCTTTCGAACTTAGAAACATTAAAATATTTATGAATGAACTGATCTGCTTTCTGTTTATAGGTTTAAAAATCAGATAGAAGGAGGAATACAGATAAAGCAGTGGCCCAGCCAGGTTGGGAGGGCTGGGTGACACACACATGGGATTTACTGTACTATTCTAATCTATTACCATTCTATTCAAACCCTCTGCAGAAAAAGTTCACGGAGAAAGGTGGTTCATAAAATTCAGTTTGCCCAAGTGAATGTGAAAGGACTCTGCCTTCCGCAGTCCCCAGAGTCAGAGGGCTGGCTCCCAGTTCTGGCCTGAGTCCTTTCTCTGGAAAAAGGGATGAGCCTTATCTCTTGGGACAAGAAATGAACTTCCTGAGGGCAGAAGCTCTGAACTCAGTAACTGGCAATATTGAAAACTGGAAAATATCTGTATACTGGGATAAGTAAAATTCTCTGATAGGTAAGACAATCTTAGAATGCAGGTTGGTTAAGAGATAGCTATCCCTGTTTCAAATATACTGATGGAAAATATAGCAGCTGGGCACGGTGGCGTATGCCTGTAATCCCAGCATCCTGGGAGACTGAGATGGGAGGATTGAGGGTTCAAAGCCAGCCTCAGCAAAAGTGAGACACTAAGCAACTCAGTGAGACCCTGTCTCTAGATACAATACAACATAGAGCTGGAGATGTGGCTCAGTGGTTGCATGCCCCTGTGTTCAATCCCTGTTACTAACCCCCCCAAAAGAAAGAAAATATAGCAAAAAAATGAGTTTTTAAAAACCATAACTTACAAAAGTTGGCAACTGTGTATGATTCCACCTAATCACACATTACCCAGGTGAGGTGGGCTAGCCCATAAGAAGTTTAGGAGCTACTTACTAACATCTGGGAGCTGCACTGGTGGAAATCTGACTGGTGCCAGACCCGGAGGGATTGTAAGCAACACAGAATGCCCATCACCTTCTCAAGCTGGTTCCTGGATTTTCACCTGCCCACCCTCCTCCTCCTACCTTCGTGACGTAACCAATGACAGATTTCAGAGAACGCCAACCATTCACAAGAAAATTTATGACGCCACGTGGATTTTCCTCTGTAGACCGGGGCTCCCCAAGTGGCCTTGCCAATCCCGACGGCAGGGCAGCCTCCCTAGTCTGCACCTCCCTTGGACAAAAGCCCATGGGAAGAAGGCTTGTCAGGGGCCCCTGGGGCCACCCAGCCATGCAACTGGACATATACACTTTGTAAGCACTGGTTTCCAACAGATAAATGTAATCAAGGTTTATATGCTCAGAGAAGCCAACAGGATGGGATTGTTTCACTTGAAAGATCAGAAGAAAATTGTAACTAATGTTGTGGAAAATTACTTTGATATTGCTTTCTTGGTACCGAATCACAATTAGGCTGCTGTGAGAAGTACAGGGAAAGAATAAATGAATAGTAACAAATCAACACAAACAGCTTGTGTCAGGAGCACTTTGCTCGGGGAAAGTAACGTAAGCATTACTTAAAGTTTTATGACTGTGTTTGGTGTGATTTACCTAGAACGTCAAAGGTGCCCATCACGTGGCCCTTGGTGAGAGTGGTCCACCTGCATTTACCAACAGAAGAAGATGGCTCAGGACCCAAGTGTGTTCTTTGCCTGACTCTGCCGACTGCAGGGGGATGCTCACCTCAGCTTCACGCCATCCTACGTGTCCTGCCTGCCTGGGGCTCCAAGCTCCTCTCTGAGCATGCTGCCCCGTGGGCCCTCACCCACCCGTAATCCACACATCTGTGTACTTGCACAGCTGTTAAGGGCACATGGGCAACTGTCACGAGGGACAAGAATCCACTGCCTGTAGAAGCAAGTCCTCTGCTTTGCCAGCTGTCTGCACCACGGTAGGGCAAATGTTGGGGCCACCAAGGCACAAAACAAATGGGAATATACCACCTGTCCCAGAAGTGGACCGCTGATCCATGCCCCTGTCCCAGGGGAATGCCACAGATAACACTCAGCCATTCTCTTCCTGGCTCCTCCCACAGAATGCAGGACATTGGGCATCTAAAACCTCTGCCCACGTGTGCATCCCCAAACACGCACACCAGGGCATGCACCAAGGATGCACGGCACTCTTTATCCCAAGCAGTATTCAAGTGCCCTTCCCCCCTCACCAGTTTGCTTTGGCACAGATAATACAAAAACCATGGGACCAACTCAGTCTGCCCTGATGGCACCATCCTATGGTGCACTGCTTCACCGACAGAGTCATCCACTATTACAGGGCTCCTGAGAGGCTGCAAAGTCCCCAAAGGAGCCAGATTGGTCAGGCACACTTGCTTCCTCACAAGACAAGAAGCAGACAGACAGACTTGAGACAGCCCCCAGCTAAGGGGGTCGGGCCAGGTGCATTAGCACTGTGGCCCTTGGCTGTCTCCTGCCTCTCATTCTTTCTCGTGCGGGAAGGTGCTGCTCATTGTGCCTGGTTCACTCTGTCAGCAGCTTCTGGGCCTGAGTGAGCTCTGGCCTCCTTCCTGGTGCCCACGGTCTTCAATCTGTTCGTAGAAGTGAAACAATGGGGACATGCACAGAGGAAGGGGTGCAGTTCTGCTCAGAGAGCCTGAGTCTAGAGAGCAGATGGTGAAACGGCAGAGGTGGCCTAGAGACAGGGTACCCCAGCTCTCGCCAAGAACAGGCGATCCTAGGCCAAGCACCCCCATCCTATGCTACAGGTCGCAGGCAGGGGGTGGCACAGGAAACCTAAACCTCTGGCTTCCACAATTCTTCCATCCTGTCCCTGGTTCAGAGCCCTGAGCAAGTGGGGGTACATGCACAGGTCTCCTGGAAGGAGGGTTATCTGGGGGTGCATCAGTGTGCCCATGTCGTGGAGCATGTGAACTGGGAGTAGGGTTCTTCATGGACCCTCTTCTAACAGAAGCTGCTGCTGAGACACGCTGATGCTGCTGCCTGGAACCCTGTCTTCCTCTCACTCCAAAGCAGAGCAGCCTCTGGCCTTGGTCCTATGCCCGTGACCTGCAACCCTGCCATGTGCAGAGGTGGGGGGACCTTGCAGAGCTCTGACTCCACATTTGGTCACCCTGAGATGCCAGAACCACCCTCAGGCTCTCACCATGCCACTTGTCCCCAGAAGACCTCAGGAAGGGTGCCTCAGGAAGGGCACCATCCTCCTCAGTGGGTCACAAGGCCCAGCGGGGATAGGAGGCAGACAGCATGGGTGGGTTTCAGCCTCACAAAGCCAGTGTTCTGCAAGCCACAGAGGCCAGATTCACAGGATCTACAGGGAAAGTGACTAGTGTCACTTGGCAGTATGGATAGGTACAAGGAGATGTTTTTCAACCTCCAATGTCCTAGATAATATGGAAGAGGCCCCAAGAGGTGGTAGAATCATCCTTAAATCCAAGTTTCACCAAAGGCAACACCTGGCTGAATAGATGGGTACCTCACCATCATCCCCAAGAGGGGACACCTTGTTGCTATGGATGCCAGAGGCCAGAGCCCTGAGGTTGGTGACTGGGCCTCAGACAGAGTATTCCCATATTGACACAAATGCCCACCAGAGGGAGGACAGGACCCCTCCTCTGCCTGCTGGGACTCTCGTCCCCCAACCCAGCACACCAGGGCAGCCACGGAGGCCTGCACCCCGGGTGGGAAAGCGGAGGCCTGCACCCCGGGTGGGAAAGCAGAGGCCAGTGACAGTGGGAACAAATGCAAGGGCTCACCTGGCACCTGCTGGGGGGCGAGCTCCGTGGGGTCCTGCAGGCTGATAAAGAGCAGGAGGCCTGCAGCTCCGAACAGCAGGATGGATGAGAACATGCAGGCCAGCCGCATTGTGCCAGGTCGCAGGGTCATCCAGGGCACACTCAGGGCTCACCTCTTGGGTGTGGGAGGCACTTTCTTCCCTCATCGTCCAAATCCGGCATCCATCAGGCTGAGGTCTACAGGGCAGAGGGGGAGAAAGAATCACCTCTGAGTTGCAGGATATTGAGGTCCCAGTCACTGCAGTAACCCCGTGTAATCAGATCCCCCGCTCGACCCCAGGAACGGAGGTGTGCCCCTTGCACCTTTTCAAGCTGACGGAGGCTGAAGGAAGTTCTTTTGCCACATGTGGTCAGGACACTGGCTCCTATCAGGGCCTCCTATATCTGTACTCTCAGCATGCATATGGAGAGAGGCACTCTCCTACTGAAGCCTGGGAATTCAGGGGGGAGCCTGAAGACCCACAGCTGAGGACCAGTGGACACCCTCTGGCACTGTCCAAAACTTCCTTGAGCCTCGCAATGAGTATGTGAGCTCCCCTGCAGGGGTCTAGGTACAGGCAGGAATATGGGTCCTCATCTCTGGAAACTGGTCCAGTGCATAGATCTGCCTATACTCTGGCCCCTCTCTACAGGATGTTGGGACACGGGTCTCATGAAGCAGGAGGCTTCAGAGCCAGGGGATGCTCAGACATAGATCAATTCCCCCACATCAGGCAGAGCTGTCCTCACAGCTGACAGACAGACAAATGGCCTGGCAGGATCCAGGCCCTGCTGGATAGTCACACCAACAGGAGCTGAAGCTCTGGCCAGTCCTTGGTTGTCTCAACACTCAAGGAAACTGGCGTGGAGCTGAGGTCGGGCAGTCAGATCCACCACCTTCAGATCCCAGACTTAAGATCAGAGGCTGGGTGTAACGGCTCTTCTCTTCCTGCCTGCTTTTCTGGCCCCTGATGACTCAAATCAGGTTCATGTCACTTGCCCCTCACTCTGGTTTCTCCTAAAAAGCAGAAGAAATGCCCAATATCCCACATATCAATCTGTGATCCCCAGCTGGGTCAGGCTATGGGTCAAGATAGAAGCACCCTAAGGCCATTTGCCCAAAGGAGGGGTGGGCATGGTGCAGTGGGATGCGCTGAGGAACAGGTGTACAGATGGCCAGGCTAGACAGGAGGCAGGTGTCCTGGGCACCTCCCCTTAGAAAGACCCTGTGTCCCCTTACCTTCCTCCAGTTCTACTGGCCTGAGCCTAGGGATTCCACCTGCCTTCCACCCAAAGAGCCTGCAGGGGAACTTCCCCATCTTAGCACAGGGCAGTGCCCACGGGAAGCTGAGGCACCTGGGCAGCACCCAGCAGCCTCCAGGACCACAGTTAGGTAGCTGGTCTGGCCCCAAACCAGATGAGCTCCTCAACCAAGGAGGTTTCCCTACCCAGGCCCTGAGATGGGGAAACAGCCCCCACCACCGTCTGTGTATCCAGAAGGAGGCCCTCCCTTCTCCCCTGCCCCCACAAAAAACGCTCCCAAGGACGAGAAAGCTTCTCAGGAAAACTCAGGGGCTGAGGAGTATAGACTGCAGGTTTGGGTTTCCTCCCTCTGCAGTCTCTCTAATTATTTTTTCACTCAGTTAACTTTAATTAACCTGCCTTAGGCCTCTACGCGCCTGGCGCAGGGCTCCCTGGACTGTGCCGAGCAGGTGCTTCTCACGATCTCCCAGCTTTTAGGCTGCACTGAGCTAGGCTCGTTTTGTCTCCGGAGCTGGCTCTGGAGTTTCGTGCAGGCCCTGACCTCAGTGGGGAAAAATAAAGGACTGCCACTTCCTGCCATCAACCAGGACCCACCCGGCCCTGCTTGCAGTGGGTAAAAATGGAGAGCCATATGTCCCCAAAAGTTCAGACCCAGAAACTCCTCGTGTGGAGCCAGGGCCTCTCCTCCTCCATGATGGCCCTGGATGGAACCCTACCGGGGGTCTGACTCATCATCCTGCAGAGACACAGGTGCACAGTGCAGGTCTCTGATGCCACTGAAAGACAAGGCCATTCATCACAGCCCCCTGCCAGCCTCCAGCTCCTGGAGGAACATGGGCGACTAAGGCAGAGGTGGCTCTGCCTGCCACAAGCAGTTGGCTGAGCCCCTCAGGAAGCTCAGGCAACCCTGGAAAGGAGATAGAAGGGTAGAAATGACATTTCACACTGATGCAGTGGAGGTCAGATCCTCAGGCAGGGAACAGGAAAGGCAGTTCAAGGCCTCTCTGGACTTATTTATATACGCACCCAGCCCTGGGCATGAGCAGGCACATGCACACTAACACGTATACACACACGCCTTGGTGTGTGCTGGCAAGTGCCTGAACATGTGCGTACACACACACACACACACACACACACACACACCATCCATGGTCCCCAGCAAGGCCCCAGCTGGCCATAGTGTTGACAATCTTTGTGCAGCCACGTTGGCCTCCTGAGCCAGACAGCAGGCAGCCAATTTGATTGAGAATGGGTAACCGTGGACATGAAGACCTTTTGTAAGGAAGGAGAGAGGGATGGAGACAGGAAGGACAGAAGAAATGATAAATGATAGCTAGCATACTGAGCTGCCTGGCAAAATAGCTAATAACGTGACCCCCAATATCTGCCCCAAGACTCCATATGATGAACAAAGGGGTCTCGGAAGCATGCGTGATCGTCATCGTGTTTGTTTAATAGCTGGTGCTACAGATGTGGCTACAGGAAGCTGGTCGGCCCTCCCCGTCCCAATCTTCTGTCACACTGTCACCATTTGAGCTGATACAGACTTCCCCTGTCGATGACTAATGGGTCCCTACAGCTGTGACCTATCTTAGCTTTCTGAACCTTGCTCACATCAAACCCACCACACAGAGCCAGGCTCCAACCACCCACATGCCTGGTAGCCAGGACAAGGATCACATCCCTGCCCCCAGATCTGGTGAGGAAGAGAACACTGTACCCTGCCCCGCCCCTTCACTGCAACAGGAGAATCAACTGTGCACCTCTGTCACTTCCGAGAACCTCCAGAGAACACAAGCACCTTGGCCACAGTCAGGAAGCTGGGGTTAGAGCACCCTGTGGCTTCTTTGTCCAAGCCCCTAAGCCCCAGACCCCAGTCTTTCCCTTGGGAACCCTCTTCTCTGTGTCTGCTCTCACTGGGGACCACGTGACCAGCTCAGTCCTCAAAAGATCAGCCCGCCTCTCCAGGATAACCAGCTTGCAAGCCTGGCTGGGTCTGTCATGCCTTAGGAGGGGGCAAAAATTCTAGAATCTGCAGAAGACTCCCGGTCCCAAAGGTGAGGAGTGGATGGAAAGTCCCTGACAGGCCAGAGACTCACACTGCAGGTGCCGTGGGCCTCACCCACCATTGTTCCCTTGAGGGTTCTTTTCTACAAAGTCACAAGATATTTTCAAGACAATGGGGAGATGCCAGTTCAAAGCCATTTTCTCCACCTCTTTCAATCAAGCTATTGCCTGGGGTTAGATGCTGTAATCTGTCACAGACCAGGGCTTGGCTGTCCCAGCACCCTATCAGGACTCAGCTCCCACCTGGGACCGTCCCATCCTCACCACCCATGACATCATATCAGCTCCAGTGACAAGTGCAATCCCCCCTCACCTCCCTTCATCCTTTCTGAGACTGAAAAACAATAAGAAAATTCAAATGATTAGGTGTGGAGAAGGAGGAGGCTTAAGGCAGGAAAAATGCACAGTCCTTTTGAGTTTCCGGAGCTACTTGCCCTTCTCAAAATTCCTAGTCCTCCCAGCAGCTTCTCTCCCCAAGGCCTGAGTGGCATCGCCAATTTTTACTTTAAGAAGGAAAAAAGATCCAATTAATCTTGTAAACACCTCCTGGGACACAGGGCAGGGCCAATGATTCCTCCCATTTCCTTATTTATCTGATTTAAATTTTTGTCATTTTGAAGACATTGACTTCAGGGCACAAGCAAGGACTTGGGAATCGGGCCAAAATACACGCACCTCCAGTGGCGACAGCCGGACGCTCGGACGGCTCCAAGGACACGCTTGGCTGCAGCTGCTCCAAGGCCTGGACACTGGCCACCATCACCCTGAGGACCCTCTGGCTGTGGGAAGCCACCCCAGCATCCCGATCCAGACAGCCTGGGTGCACCCACGTGGTCAGTGGGCCCCAGGCCCAGGAAAGTTCTCTGTCCGTCTTTCTCGTCACACGGGCAGGAGCGAACAATGACGTCCCTCCCGGCTGAGGGCTCCAGGAGAAGCTGCTCGTTGGGAGAGAGGCTGCTATGGCAACTTGAGGAGAATGGAGCCAGGCACTGCCGTCACCTTGAATCCGGCACCGTGCCTTCTGCCGCGGCAGCCTAGGGGACCTGGCGCCCAGCTCTTCCCCTCCCTCGCCGGAGCCGGGCATGGGCAGCTGACCCCTGGCTTCCCTCCTCAGCCTCCTGGTCTCAGAAACTCATCTGCTCCTCGCTGATCGGAGTACACAGCCCGGTCCCCCGAGAGTACCACCTCCATCTGTTTTGTCAGACTAGTTCTTCCATGTGTGCGGCTCCAGCTTACTTCTGAGATGGGGCTCTTCTTGATTTCAGCTCATTAAAATCCTGCAGCTAATTAAAACCGCTCTAACGGCGGCGGCAGCAGCAGCCGCAAACTCTGGGACAAGTCCCTCCAGTTTTTATGCGTAGGCATAAAGTTGCGATGCTCTCCCAGGATGATGGATGGCTGCAAGCGCTAGGATTCCGAGGCGGGGCTGCAGACTCAGAATTGCTCCTGCCCCGCCCGCCACTCGCTGGGTCTGGGGGACGCTGGCCTGGGTCCTGAAATCCTCAGGGTCCAGCCATGCACACCTGGGCCTGTCCAGCTGCACCAATTACTGGGGGAACAGTAATTCACCTGCCATCCACTCTACTACCACAGCACAGGATCCCCTTCAATTCCTAAAGATTTCTGTGGGGCAGAACAAGGGTATCCTAGGGTATAAATCAGGCTCAAATACCCCCCAAACCTTGCTCTGGGACCCCCAATCCCCTGCCGCCAAGGAACACCGAAGCCCAGCCTCCCACTATCACGTACACAAAGAAGAGCTATGTGAAGGCTAAGGATGAAAATGTGCAGCTGCGATGAGAGGTCCTGTGGGCCTGACCAAGGAGCCACAGGACACAAGACCATCGATTGCTGCCAGAGACAGAACGAGACCATGGGTACCATCTCTGCCTAGGACTTACATGCTTAGGCATTTTACAGCAATGGGACAGAGTAGGGGATAGCAATTTTCCAGGAAGAGAAACTGAGTACCTCTTCACCCCCACCCTAGCAGCTTGGAATGCCCACTCAGCACCCCAAATCCCCTAAGCCTGGGGGCCTCGGCGCTGGCCCCTCTCCCCCACGTGCTTATCACCAGGCTCAGACTCAGAGCTATGGGAGCTGCTTCTGAGCCTTTCCTCATCTTTGTATTCCCAGCACTTAGCACAGAGCCTGGCACAAGGAAAGTGATCGATAACCTGTGCCGCATGTGGAATGAGTACGAGTTAATAGATGGAAGTGTTGGGGGCCACCGGGAGAGAGGCACTCCATGAACTTGGAATTTTAAAAAGGTCATTTATGTTTCAGGGAGCTGTGTGTTTGTTTTGATCAGGTTTGGGATGGAATCAGGTCCAAGGAGTAGCCCAACCCAGTGATGGGAGGAGAGGCAGGAAGTAAGCTCCACCTCACTCGATTCCTTCCCCAGGAACCTGATGGAGCCTGACAGCTCAAACCTACTCAAGGCACCGTCTCCACCCAAACCCCACTTCTGAATCCTCATGTTGGGGATGAGAGATTGCTGATCACGAGGCTTGAAGACTGATATATGTCTCTCTCTATGTGTGTATAGTAACATGCTTAAGACTTGCACAAACACATGCACAAGTCATTTGGATGCTGGAAAACGGATTCTCTCCAAACCTTTCCAATACTGCGTGATGATAGGAAACCTCCAAACAAAATTACGGTTTTCCTGGGTGGACCAAAAGTTGGTGAAAGCAACACATGCTTTCACCAACGTGTCTTACCCCTGGAAGACAGGCTGAGTGAGACAAGCCAATTGCAATATATATAAAACGATTCCATTTATATGAGGTACCAAGAGTTGTCCAATTCATAGAGACAGCAAGTAGAATAGAGGCTACCAGGGGCCAGGAGGTGAGACAGGTAGCTATGATTTAATGGGTACACAGTTTCAGTTTGGAAAGACAAAAGTTTTAGAGATGAAAAAATGGTGAGGACATACTAAAGGCTACTGATCTGTACACTGATGAACGGTTGAAATTGGTAAATTTTATACTTTTTAGAAAGAAAGCAATGAGCATCTTGAACTAAGCCATGAGTATCATGGGAGGGACACCAGGCTCAGAGCAGGGAGCCCTGCTTCTGGGCCTAGCTCCCCCCCCCTACCAACCGCACGAGCCCCATGACTTGATTCCCCTTATCTTGGACTCAGTCCTCCTTCAAAATATCTACTGCAGAGGACCTTCCAACTGCCTTGAAGCTCTGCTGTGAGACAAACGTCTTAGAAAACAGAAAGGCACCTTGCACATTTCGTTTATGGGATGCTACTTTCAGGCAGAGCAGGTGGTCCTGTGGAGAATGTCCCTCATCCACACCTGTCACCTGTTTCTCACCATGGATCTGGGCCACTGCCACACCATGGTCTCAGGAAGACTGCCAGGGGGCATATCCCAGTGTCCTACACCCTGAGAGGCGCTGTTCCAGAGATAACAGGTTCCCTAAGGAACAAAAAAACCCGCCAAGCTGTCCCCCTTCATGACAACTCTGTCCTTGCTCGAGGGATCAAAGGCCCTGATACAGGAATTGTATTCTCGGGTTCTTTCTGGTCTGCAAAGCCTCCAACTCAGGCTAGCCTGGCTAAGATAAATCGCATCTGGGGCTATGCCCTACCTAGGGGACCATTCCTCTGTGTGGGAACTTCTATGCTGGATCTGCTGAGGCAGTATCCCATATAATGATAGAAAATATTTAGAGGCAGAAATCTACAACAGGGCTAATGATATGGATCCTGTGATTTCTAGAGCCACTCTTTCCATTTAAAAGTCTTTAATTTTTAAAGAACTTAAAAGGACAACCTAGGGACCCATGTGGTGGTGGAAAGGTTCTCTCTCTCGACTGTATCGATGTCAATATCCTGGTTGTGATATTGTACCATAGTTTTGCACAATGTTGCAAAAGGGGGAAACTGTGTAAAGACTTCACCCCATTACTCTGCACTCTTTCTTACTACTGTATGTGAACACGTAACTATCTCAAAATAAAAAGTTTTAAAGAATCAAGAAACTTAAAAATAAAAATCACTGGCCTTTCAGCTCATGCATAAAGGAAGCAGATTCTAATGTTGTACACGTAAATAATAGATAACCATTTTCATGGATCAGTGCCATCCCCTGTTGTATAAGAAACATTTTAAAGTTAAGGGACTATGCCTTTAATAAGAAAATTTGATGTGTTAGCAACTACTGGTTGATCTTTGTGCATTTTTCAATTGCAAAACTGCACTTTAAAAATGCAAACAATTATTAATATTGATTTGGACTAAAACAATATTGAAATTCAATATATTTCCAGCTCTTTTATGAATTACCCTGTGGATACAGGGTGATTATGATAGAAGAGTATTTGCATGCTCAATTTCTTTTTCAGTGAGGATCCTTGAAGAGGGCTGATGTGATCCATAGATAATGAACTTCACAGGGACAAGACTGGCTCTGGAGTCCTTGGCCCAGGATCTCTGATTCAGACACTGCACAGTCTTTGAGCTACCACTTTCTTTGCTGGGATTTTCCCAAGTCATTCTTAGAGAACACGGGTGCTAAACACCTGCTCACGGCCTAGAACAGGATTTCAGTTTTTAGAGGCAGGCTCAGGAAAGGAACAGATATTTATCGTGCTCCGCCTATGTTTCAGGATACACAGGATACGACAGAAGCATCTCATTTAACTTTCACACAATAACCTCTTGAAGTGAAAGTCATTATCCTTATTTATCACAGGTTTGGTTCTCTGTAAGGAGATGCTGAGATGGAGTTTGGGGGTGCAAGATGCTTATTAAGAATCAACACCTGTGAAGGGAAAAGAAGAAAAAGTAGACAGAGAAGCTCTGGAGTGAGAAGAGCCTTCAGAGTATCTGGCAGCAGGCAAAAATGGCCATATCTTTAGATCTCCAGAATCTTCCATAGCTAGACGTGGGCTGACCAGGGCAAAGTATGACCACGGATGAGGCAGTTTGCCACAGCTAAGGCATGTCCTGAAGGAGCTGACAGCTGAGTCTGACTGCTGACCACATGGCCTGTGTGTGGTCAGTAAGTTCTTCTGGAAGGGAATCCAGGCAGCGTGTGTCAAAGCCCACCTCTGTTTCACAGCTGACAAAATTAAGACCCAAGGAGACTAAACACGCCAAGGTTACAAAGTAAATAAGAGCCATCCCCCATCTGTCTGACTCAAATCCTGTCTCTCTCTATTCCAGCCACTGCTTTTCCCAAAAGCTTAGATTGGACTGTCCTGACCTTCAGTTACTGAGATATGAAGGTTTGGAAGTCTCTAGAGGAATATGCCGAAAGTAAGCAAACAAACTCACCTCAACATCCTGATAACACAAAGGCATACGTGCGCTCTGTGTACACGCAGTCACGCACGGACACACGTCTGCTTCTTGACCATTATCTCAAGAAGGTGGGGACATGGATTATTTGGGTTAAGATCTCCCCTGACAGCACAGTCTGGAGAACATCTCCCCCAGTAGGGCCCTCGGATCCTGCCAAGAGCAGCCAAGGATGCTTCATGCTGCATGGCCGGCCTCCTTTTCCTTTTCGAAAGCACTGAGCTATTCACATTTTCCAGCTGCTCTGACATCCACAGCCTCAGCAGGGAAAATTATAGGGAAGAAAAAAAAATTGCATATTTACTTCTCAAAATTGAAAGTTGGGGTATAATATGGCTAGAAAGGAGTTAGTGTAGTAAACCCCAAGTGCCCTGGCCCCTGGCAGGGTGCAGCTTCCTCCAAGCTGCCAATAGCAATCCAGAGACTCCAGAGGGGGAGAAAAGGGCAAGGAGATTGGCTTCTTTCCAGGGAATCCCTTTCCCTGTGGTTGGCATCAGGAGGGCCCAGAAGACTTGCCTTTGTGTTTCCAGTTCCAGCCGGGCCTGGCACAGAGCAGGTGCTTGGGCAATGAGTGATGAGCAGAGAGACCTAGAGGACGGTGAAGGTGAAGAGCAGCTCCTAGAATCGAGAATGTTCCATGGGCCTGTATCTATGCATGACCGTCCCCTTTGCAGGCTGGCTGACCTAAGCTGTCTCCGGTAGTGACCACTGCATTCTCGATCCCTAACCACTCCAGAATGATTTTTCGCTGGAGCTCACCTCTGAACAGGCTGTTCTCTCCCAATCTGAGGGACTCGAGTACTAAGAAGATGGCAGAACAGTCAAACCTCCTGGCCCTCCCCTTGTTGCTCTGTGGCCACAGGATGGGGTCAGGTTTCAGTGACCTGGAAATTCTAATGCATGGGTAGCCATGAGAAAGAAGCCTGCCTCTTCCATGAGGCTCTGCCCCATGTCATCCTCCAACTGATATCTTCTTTTCCAAGTCCTCTTCAGCCCAACGGATCCCTTGGTGG